TGTCACCCACGCTAAAAAACTGTAATGTTTGAAGATGAGACAATTTTCCGATTTTAGGCGGCATATCAATATGGTAGCCTCCAGGTTTGAAGTAGAGATGTCTCAAATTACTCAAGTCGCATAGCCTTTCTGGAAGCCGTCGAAGGTATGTGCCGTGGATCCTTAAAGTTTGCAAATTGTAGAGCTTGCAAATCGAATCTGGTAAAGCTTTCATTCCAGAATTGTTGGATCCATCAAGATATCTCAAATGTATCAACTTTCCAATTGCAGTTGGGAAAACTTTGAAGTATGCGTCACATAACTTTAGAATGTGCAGGTGCTTGAACCATGGCAAAATTTTGTCAGGTAAGCTGCTCTGCAAGAACAACGTGCGCACATAACTTGCTTTCTCTTCTGTAATTGCTTGTGTTTCCGTTCCAAGTGATTTCATTGCAAGGTATCTAACTTTGGGAATGTCATCAGTAGAGCGATCCTCCGCATTAAAGCTTTCTGAATTTGAAACTGAGCATGCGAGATCATGCACAAGATCATGCATCTTGCAGTGTATGATATTGCCATACTTATCCTTTACAGCCTCTTGCAGGAAGGAATTTTGCAACAGAATGTTAAAAAATCTATTGCCCAAACTTTCCAAACTATTTTCTGGATTATCCGGAAGAAATCCTTCCGCCATCCAGAGTTGGATCAAATCATCTCTCTCTATTTTTGAATCCTTGGCAAATATTGAACAATAGGCAAAACATTTTTTAAGGGACGGAAAAGACAAACGATCAAAGCTTATCTTTAACACTTGCATCACACTGTTCTGATTTGCTTCAAGATCAGGATTTGAAAGCCCATTCTGTAGAACTGAAACCCAATCACCAACTTCCTTTCCTCGCAAAGTTCCGCCGATCGTCTTTGCTGCTAACGGTAGACCTCCACATTTGCAAGCAATCTCCTTTCCAACTATTTCAAATTGTTCTGGTACTTCTTCATCTCCAAAGGTCCTTGCTTTGACTATAGACCAGCATTCATCATTTGTTAATACTTTCAAGGTGTATGGATCTCTGTAAGTGTTCACAATTGATGCCACACTTTGAAGACGTGTAGTCACCACGATGACATTTCCTTTATTGGGGTTAATTCCAGCCATAGCACTTTCGAAATCATCCCAAGCTAGTCTATCTTCATTCCAAATATCGTCAAGAACAAGTAAGTATCTTTTGCCTCCCAATTTCTCTCGGAGCTTATCCACACCAGCTTGCCTGCTGGCTCCATGAGAACTTTCTCTTAAGGAGTCCAGAAACCTTATTAAAAGCGTAAGCACATCAAAATTTTCAGA